CTTAAAGGTGCTGCGTCCATTGGAAATAAAATGGAAACTGGTATCGAACGATTAGCTGATGGTAAAGGGAGTCCGCGCGCATACTACACCACTGCATTATCGGCGCCAGGATTAATGCATCTAAACGTTCTTCGTTTATAACGTGTCAAATTAGGGAGATAAATTCGCGAGACGCTTACACCGAGACGCTTTCCAGCGGATTGATTTCTTCTCCGCAATGACCCGAGAATGCGTCGTATCGCGTGGGCATCTTTTTTACTCGCGGGCATTAACTAATTGAAACGGCGGAGCGGCCAGCGAGGGAGGGAGGGTTGGTCGAAAAAGATTTACACGAAGAGTAAAAGCGCTAGCAAAAACGAGCGTGCGAACAAAAAGGCCGGCGAGTCTGGGAGGCGAGACCAGGGCGCCAGGAATGTTCCTCGGGCAGTCGTTGTCGGTCTCATTGTTATCGACCCGCTGGGATCTCTGGCGTCATTGCTAACGTGATCACGTCGCGGCTATCACCTTCCTGCCGGGCAGCACCTTCCTACATACACGCCGTGACGTAGTTTCCGTGCTCTACCGCGAAAGGTCACAGCAACGTCCGAATGTATTCTGGACCGAGGTAGTGTTTGCTTTTAGGAAAAATCGCGAAAAGAAAGGACTTTCCTCGTCGAGAAATTGTTGACGTTGTTCCCTCAACATTGCGAAAAATACCAAGTTAGAATTTAATTTTATTTCGCTGCGTCAATAAGCGTATTAGAAATTTTATGAAATAAATAAATCTACACGACAAAGGAAATTTTTTTTATTTAAAAGCTTTATTATTTAGACTTTTTTCGACTACTACAATTTGTTTTACTAATATTTTTTGCCTTTGTGCAACAGTTATATAGAGTAGGTAATTTTTCGGAGTTTTTCCATTCTTTTCGTTTATCTTCGAATTGCATTTAACTATTGTTATTAAAAATATACTTCAATTAACTATAAACAGAGAGAAGCCTTACAGCTACCACGGCCGGGTTTTAGGTGATTCTCGAATGCGATACGACCTCTGTGGACATTGGAAAACGTGGACATGAACTACGTAGTCAATATCCACATTTTGCCAAGTGGGTAACGCAGATTTACGAAATTTTGTTATTAAAAAATATACTTGTATTCTTTTTGCTGACAAAATTTATAGTAGATTGTTTTCAATAAACTTGGTTGTCTATGCATTTTATTATAACTTTGTATTTTTCTGGTTATATTATAAATAAGCTAATGCTTCTCTTTTAGATTTAAATTACATTTTTATCCGATAAAAACAGACCAACTTGTAGAGGCCCACCACTACCCCCGCCGAATTTTTATCGGCGGTCCTCTTTTGTTTGCAATAAAATTGTGTTTTTATATTTTTATATATAATTATTTTAGTGTAATTTAATACATTTTATTAAAAATATATTAACTGGTAGTTTTTTATTAAAAGTATTTTATTAAAAATAATGGCAAATTAAGTATATTTAATAGAAATACATTGCAGTAATAATTTTACCTATCTTTTTAATTATCGAGTTCTGTCCCCAAGTCCCTATCTTCCCGAATCTCTACCTACCCATATTCCGCTGTATAGTCTTATTCATTTTCTTTCCTACCCGCGCTTCAACTTTTAGTTAATAAACCTACAAGTCTTTCGTTAAAACCACGACGCAATTTTTAAGAGGTCCGATTTGGGATTTTACGCGCACGATTGGGATTTAAGGGGATGCTAAAGCCGTCTGTTTTATC